AAGAACTTTTAAATAATTAATTTGATACTAACATTGATATATATTTTGCAAATTTTATATGATATTTTAAATTTTATATTTTATTCAAAAATAAAAACATTATCGCTTTTTCAAAACCATATAAAATCGTATTATATCGACATAGATAAAAAATAAAACGAAACATTGAAATGGAAATATGTCTGCACGAGTACCCTTCTAGTATAGTATAGATACACACATGCGTACGATATGCGTCTTGCTTCTTCATTTGGTTCTAATCAACAGGACACCATTCTTGCCTATGATTTTTCCGTTACATGATGATCGTGAGATCGATGAGATATATAACGTATGTCGGCTTCTTTTAATCTAAAACTACACTTAATAACATAAGTTATTGGTCATGAAGGTATATCGGTGGATTCCACTTTTCTTTTTCGTTACTTTCTTTAATTATTTTCAATTTTCTAGAGTCATCATCCCATTTTCTTTCAAATAAATACCTTTTTATATTATTATTCATTTTAATACATAATTTAAAGAAAACATTGAGAGATCATATAACTATCCTCAAAAATTAAGATGATTATATATTAAATAAAAAAAAACCAAATACAATGGTATTTTTGTATTTACATTCATTTGTAAATTACAATATTTCTTTGGTATTCACGTAAATACTAATACTAATTACCCTTTTTAAACTCTATATAAATGAAAGACAAATCCAACCAATTCATTACATAAAATACCTGAATACGATTTAAATACGAGTCTTATTCTAACACACACACACACACATATATATATATATACATATATATACATAAATATATATATATATATATATATATATATATATATATATATACATATGATACCACTACATTTTGTTGGGTGTGGAAATCTTGAAAATAAATCAAGTATGTACGACTTTGACGATTCACTTCATGCCAATTTCTCATATTTTTGACCCAAAAAAACTGTATTACAAAATACATAAATTAAAATATTTAGTCTATTTACTTTATAAAAATACGAGTTTTTAATTATTGGTAGACATGTAACAAGATTAATAATACAAGAATTACAACATGTAAATTTCATTTTCTTAATATCAGAGATCAAACAACTTCCGTTATCATTGCATGCAAATAAATTGTTCTGTTTCGTTTTTAAAATAATATGACTATTTACCATGGTATCACATGTATTTCATTTATAAAGGAAGTTACTGTATTTTCAAAATATTTAAAGTTCCTTTATGTTTCAATACGATTTATGACAGATAAAACAAAAAGAAATCGTATCGTATTAATTATGAAATAATTTAAAAGAAAATTATTATATTAATTTAAGACAAAACAATATATTCCATATTATGCATAATAATATGAATACCATGAATTTTCATTAAATATCATACATTTCTACTTATATGAAATTATATAATGATTTTGAATGGTCTTTTTTTATTAACATGGATATTCATCTCGTTATGCGAGTCGACTAATCTTAAAATGATCACCTGTTTTGCAGATAACTCGGAGTCATCGTATTTAAATCTACGTGACCACAAGGGGAATTTTATTTCTCCTTTGATTTAAACCTGAGACCTTCAGGTATTTTTGACTTTTAGAGTCAAGCTTAAACTAATCAAATATCATTATTATGGTTGAATAGTTTTTTTTTTCAATAACACATTCGAAAACTAGACGTAAAAAGGCTAAAATATGAGAATTTGTCGTAAATGTGCATGTCGGGATTATTACCTGACACGTAGCCAGACTTGGATATGGCAGCAATAAAGCAAGAACACAGGCCAAAACCCCGATGGCGGTGCTGGCCGCCACGTGTACCGGATGCATGACCGGATCAGTCTCACCACCCATATCATACGCCACCACGTAGATGATCACAATTTGTCCCAGTGCTATTCTCTTCGACACCAAATGAGTCCGATGATCCGGCAGCATCACCACAAACGCCGCCACGGCAACCACCGTCGAAGTAAGCGCCGTCGTCAACCGTGATGGTCCTATCGCCCAAAGCCCTAAGATGGCCGGAATCACAGTCAAGAAAGTAGCACAAACGGCGTCCCAGCAGCCACGAAATGCGTCGCCGAGGGAGGCGCCGGTTACTATGAGAATGACTGTTACGTAAGAGAAGGCCGGGAAGGCGACTTGGCGGCGGAGGGCGGAGGGGCCGAAGAGGGTGGCGGCGGCGACTATGGCGCAGGCTAGGGCGGTGCGGAAGGAGGCGGAGAGGCAGGAGAGCCATAGGGGATTAAGTTTAATTAGCATTGTGATTAGTGGGGGTTAATGAAGATTAGAGATGTAAAGAAAAAAAGTAATGTGAGAAATGTTATGGCGGGGAAGAGGGAAGGGTGCACTTATGAATTTATACATGACTCTTAATGGTGGGTCCCATCAACCGGAAAATTAAGGATTAATAAAATATTGATTATAGTTTATTTATTTATTTATATATACAAACGTTTTACGATATTACTAGTCGTATATCTGTGTAATGTGGTAGAGTCATGAATTTTAACGATTTTGAAGTTTTATTGGTTTTATTAGAGAAGATTTAACGATGATGTAAGTTACACTTGGTCTTTACATATTAATACAATTTGAATAAATAAAAGTTATGGTTCCAATTACAGTCCATCGATGAAAAAATTGTATGACAGTTTAAAATCAAATATATTTAAACGACTCCATAAATATGTTCGATTTACACCAAGATCAAAGAATCAAGAGATTGAGAGCGAGACCGAGAGTTCTAGAGCAATTGAATGAGATGAATGAGAGAACTTTTAATAACTCATGGTAAATATCGGTTTGAACCTCACATTAGGGGATAAGAAGAAGACATAAATGTATGAGAGGGTGAAGACATGAATGAAATGTGTCAAAAGTATCTTGAGAACATGAAAAAAAAAGACAATAATGTGCATTGGTAACTTGTACTATATGTTATTTTAATGTAGATTAAGAGATTTTAATACTGAATGCATAAAGTAGTAGTACTGAATGCATTATGAGTTGTTTTTAAGACTTTGTGCATAAATGTATAATATTTTATGCATTAAATATTGTTTTTAAGATTTTTGATAAAGTTGGTTCATAAGATAGTATAGATAATAAATTTTAATATCATATATGATTAATTTATTTGAATGTGTTTAATCATATATAATTAAATGAGGACTGCGATAAATTATAAATATGTGAGATTGTTATAAAAATATTTTTACATTTTTTTTTATCAATGATTATGATTTAACGTATTGTTTTATATATGTTTTTGTTTATATTGTGAAAAAATATACAAGAAAGTTTTTTTGGTTTAAATAGTGAAATAAAAACTATACATTAAAAAATATCATATTATAAAACAAATACAGATTTCATATTAAAATAAATGTATATGGAACATATTTTTAATCCTAATGCTTAATTGAAAAAAATCATGTGAAAAATATTTTTAGATTGCTTTTCACGGGCTTACAACCATTTCATTGTTCTCATTGATTTTCGCATATTTTATATATATACACACACGGACACATAGGGACCAAAATCTGGTGGCCTCCTCCGGCAAGTGATGACCTCCTCTAGTCATCTTGTCCGACCAAAACGTCGTTTTTGACGATCATCTCTCTTCCCCCTCTCTGCTATTGACAACCATCTACATCTACATACCTATATACAACGTAGGTATCATAGTGGTAGTATAGTTGGTATTACAATGGTACCACAGTTGATATCATAGTGATCTCGAAATTTACTTGGTGTGTTTTGGATATCACATTGTATGTATTTTGGGTATCATATTGTGTATTTTGGGTATCACATGGTGTTCGCCGAAATAAGGTTTACCGGAGGCCGGAATCAGGAGAGAGAGACAAAGGAGAGATCAAATTTTAAATACCTAAAATGCCCTTTAACTAAAAATTTGATACAAACTACCAAAAATTTATCAATTGATTTGTGGTGAATGAACTACTATATATATATATATATTCGTATAAGAATACAAGTTAAGATAAGAGAACTGTAAGAAATGATTTCAACCTTTAATCACTTTCAATCTCATGCCAACCTGTAAATGGCACTTTAGAAGAGAATCTATTCAGTGTATCCCATTACTGTTGATCTACTATTTCTCTTCAATTAAGAGTGATCCGAGGATGGAGATATTTTCTCACATTTTTCACCATAAATTTCATTGTTATCGAAACACAACCCATACATATATATATATATATATATATATATATATATATACACACACACACAGAGAGATAAAGAAAAAATGTTCAGTTGCAAACATGTTTTCCATTATAAACTGGGGGACAAAGAAGGATGTGAAACGTGTCTCTATTCATTCTCATTCATCATTAATAATGAACGTGGATTTTCTACAAGATTAATGATTCATAACGAAACTTAATTTTGCATTTGAACTTGTCCTTATATATATAATTATTTTCATACGTTAGACGTTCATAATTGTTTTGCATTTTTCACATGTTGTTTCATATGTGAAACAACTAATGCAAATCAATTTATAAGTTTGTACGCTTAATGGGTTTGTATATGATTATATGTCACACATATATACACCTATATATCACAAAAAATTATGATTACTATACTGTTTAATTAGTAACATGACAAAAGCTTACCGCTACACTACTAGAAAACTAGGTATCATCAGCCAATTTTATCGATGACCAAAAATTCGACTACAACAAGTTTTCCCGGCAAAACAAAAAACTGTCAGTGAATTTAACAATTTCCAATGGATCACCATCGGATCCTAAATTATTTCATTTTTTAATTATTTATTCGTAAGGCCGTCGATTATCTCCAAGGCCGTCGGTGATCTGTCGGTATTTAGTGACGTCGGTGATCTGCCGGTATTTCGAGGTGATTTGTTGGTGACTAGAATAGTCGGCGACCTTATACTATTAGTGATGGTTTCACCCACCATGACTTGTCCGGCAGACTTTCAATGATGGATTACTCACGTATTTTTCCATGGATGAGGCCTTCATGTTTTGTAGTGTTAATGATGAAGAAAAACATTCCCTCTTTCTATATATTTGATCAACTTTTAAACGTTCGTACATCATAATTAAAAGAAAAATTATAACTTTATCTATCTTTTAATTTGGACACTTATTTTTCAGGACAACTTTAAATATAAATGTGGACATTTGTTGTGGGATGGTGAGAGTTGATACAACATATCAAAGGCAAAGACAACCAGTTTAATGGAACTAAGGGGCCGTTTACCAAATGCTTACTCGAGTAAGTGAACATCAAGTCACGTTATCTTATCGGATGAATATGGTATGGACTAAGAATCTTACCCGGTAAGAGCGATACAAGTACAAAGAGTCTTATCCAGTAAATGAGGGTGACGACTCTTACCATGGTAAGCGCTTACCGGGTAAATTGTTGCATATGATATCGTTTTGGTGGATTAAAATATTACCCGATAAGTAAATTATAATGTTAAATTTTACCAATAAACGCTTACCGGGTATGTGTTTGGTGAACGGCCCCTAAATGTTTAACGATTTGAAGTTGTTAGATCAACGTTTTAATTGATGTTAACTACTAAAATGGAAGGTTTTACATGAAAAATGAATAATCATTTACTGATTGAATAATATGAACATCTTCAAAAATAAAACCATATGTTCAATCATGAATATCGCCAACCAACATCGATACAAAATTCGTAGGTAGAAAGGAACCCCCCTTGCTACACATTGAACATAAATACAACTATTGCAAAGTACGACTGTGGTCAATCATTTTCACAGATCGTTTAATGAAAATACCAGAAGTGTAATTAAGGCCATGCCTTATAGTATTAGACAATCCCAAATATTTACTATATTTGTCTGTCTCGGTCATATTTACGTCATGGCAAATTTCCGCTAGATGTTCCATGTGAATACTCGTGCTAAAAAAGATTAAAAAAAAATCAAGAAGTTAAGTTTTGCCTTGATCTACACTCAAACCAGTCGAGCAACTCCATAACCTTGATTGCCTCATAGTTTATCGCTTCGCAGTGAAGTTAGCTATCACAGACAAACAATACATATATGAACGATGATTGACGCCAACCTCATAACCTGGCACCCATGAATCATTTACTTTTGCTCATAACGTTATTTTAAAGACAGAGAAATCCTTTAATTACTATCGTAAAGAGTGAAGGTGATAACAGATCACATGCATTATGAAAGTATTTCAAAAGAAATTTAATAAAAATCTAAATTTGTTTTACATTTGGAATGTTCTTATATTATGTAAGGAATTATATTTAAAATCCACTTTAATTGTTTTCTTATTTTGTCCATAATTTTTTAAATCAAATTAAATATCATAACAAATGTATTGCAATAATAAATTTAAACTAGAATATAATAATTAAGTAACCACTAAGTTGAATTAAAATAATTATATAATATGTCTCTTTTTTTTCCAAATACATTCTTACGAAAAAATATTATGCAACCGACATTTATATATAGAGGTGAGTTATTACAAATGTATATACTCACACATATATATATATATATATATATATCAATAATATATATATATATATATATACTATATTATAAAGCATTTGACAAGAACTCTTAATAACCATTTTTATGCACAAAGTACTGTTTATTAATGCATATTACTTAAAATTTAAGATTACAAGTAAATTATACATAAATACAACTTATTAAAGCTCCATATTTGAATTCGTGCAATTAACTGCAGATAAACATAATCAAATATTGGATAAACATCTCATTTTAAATATAAAAAATCTAAAATACAATTAGAATAATCATTGAGTTCTTTTTTGAAAGGCAAAAAGGAAGGACAAGGAAGATAGCTACAACATGGCCATTGAGTTATAACAGAATAATTTACTTATTATCTTTATAAAAAATTATATTATTAAACCTAAATTAAATTTCTTTATTACTAAACCTAAATTAGATTATAATTAAAAAATTGAATTAACTAATTTACACCAAAACACAATAACTTTTAACAAGGTTAATTTGATATTGACATCGATATTTTTTTTCAAAATTTTATAATATTTTCAAATTTATATTTTATTCAAAAATAAAAAAAATATCGTTTTCTCAAAAACACATAAAACCGTATTATATCGACATAAAAAAAGTATTTAAAATCAATATGTATCTCGATGCATTGCACGAGTACCCTTCTAGTATGTATATATATCAATAATAATTATTACATCA